ACAACACTGAGGAAGGAACAAATGACACTTTTCTACACTGTCACAATTCCACGACTGTGGTCATCTTTGTAAGATGAGCTGGACTGAGGTCTCTTGCCCTCGGCACCACAGACATTGGGGGGCAGGGAATTCTTTCTTGGGTGTTTGTAGGGGGTTTAGCAGCAGCCCTGATCTCTACTCACTAGATGCTACTAGCACTGCCCTGGCCCCCAAGTCCTAACAAAAATGTCTCAAGACCTTGCCAAGTGTCCCCTGGGCAGCATTAGTGGATTCACCCCCAGTTGCGAGCCACTGGTTTTGTCTGAGACTGTAGCTCAGCAGAATGTGAGCCAGCTAATTAGCTAATGATAACTATTAGCCAGATTTCTCATGTAAGTCCCCAGAACAGCATTTTAAGATCCAAAGTTCCTCTGACCCTGGCAAGACACATGGGACATCAGTTTGACAGGCCAGCTCCAAATATGAGCACCTTTTCTACCCCCTAACCTCCTCCCTACCTTCTGCCAGTCCCTTTCCTTCACCCTGGCCTGATAAGGTAATTCCTTATTCATCTTGACGTTCTAATGACACAAAGGCATTGAAGGAGCTCATGCCTTAATTGATTCTAAGGAAAACTGGCATTATTTTTCTAAGAATCCAGATGTAATATGCAAGATGTTCTGAATGAGGTCACTGAGGTCTCTGTGCTTGTGACTCCTTCTCAACTGTAAGCTCTCAGCTCAAACCTCAGCTCCTGAACTTGAAGCTCCCCCTCCAGAGAGCCCTCCCTGAACATGCTCCTCTATGGTACTGAGCAGCTCCTGATTGCAAATCTGTTTGTCCTTTCTCTGCTCACTTATTGTTACCTGAAATTATCTACTCAGAAATTCAGACTGCTGCAACCAGAGCAGGTGCTCCGTGGCCAAGGAAACTTCTGTCTTGTTCACCGCCATATCTTTAGCATCTAGCACAAGGCCCGGCCTCCTCCTGGCCCCAGAACTATGTAGGTAAGTAAGCAAATGAGTGAATGAATTTACATAGGCATCATTTCTAAAGTATTAACTTCCTTCCATCCACTTCTCATTTTATTCCTGAGCTTTGCTCCCCATCCTCACGGCCAATTGTCTTTAAAGAAAGTGAACACAGTTAACTCCCTCTCCTCTTACATTCCTCCTTAGTTTATCAAAGATATTCGAGTACCTGGCTGGTTGTTGAACACGGAGCAGTCAGGAGTTTCCTCCTGGTGCCCTTCATCTTCTGGTCCTAAGAGAAATCTCCATATAAACGAAAGCTTGCTCCCTTCTAAGTACAGCCAACTTCACAAATACCCAGACTGACAAATCTTTGCTCTAACGAAGAGTTGCTTTATTACAACTCCCAGGGTATCAGTATCTGAGTAGAGGCTATTAACTAATTGACAGTGAAACTGTTGGGGTTGGAGGGGGGGAAACGGATGGAGAGATAAGGCAGGCAGAGAGGCTAAAATTAAATGACAAGAGGCCTTGCCAAATTGGAGTGGATTCAGAAATGATAAACCATCTCGAGGATCAATGAGAAAGGGAGAATCAAATAATGAGCTTTTAAATTTATCAAAACACTATTGATGCACAGGGAGAGGTTTCATCTTTGTTTAAAAATAAATTTTCTATTGGCTCCAGTGCTTCAACCATTTTATCCACAAGCCTTGTGGCAACCTATCTGTCAAAGAATTACTCACTTTTGAAAACACTATATCTCTTTATCTATGTATCTGCTCACCTGTCATCCATGTGTCTCTCCACTTATTTACCTAAGTACATCTGGGGATACTTGTGCAGAGCATCCATCTATCTGGACCTTGGGTTGCATACATCAAGCCCCTCCTTCCAGCTTTGCCTGAGCTATTTCAAATCTACTAGTCAAGGAGACTTTTTTTTCCCCCTCCCTGGAAAAATAAGAGGTTGAGAAGACAGATAGATTCTGGTATCTTCTGACCATGACTTTGATGCTCACCAATACTATGCGCTTCCAGTGTGAACTTGGGCAAGTTACTTAACCTCTCTGACCCTCAGGTTCCTCACCTGGAAAACGGGCATCATGAGAACACCTACGGAATCATGGCCTCTGGGATTCAACAAGAGAAGTCAGTTCTTGGCAAATGATAAATATCAGTGCCAGTGGGGATCATGGTAATGCCGCTAAACAAATTCAAACTCCTTTCACACTTGCTTTTTCATTTCTCCGTCCCCTAGTTCTTGGGGAACCACCCTCTGGAGACTAGGGAAGCATTCACCACTGCAAGTCAGGGCTTCCTTGGTACACCCCAGGGGTAGCCCGCTGAGGGAAAGCTGACACTAGAGATTTAAACCTTACTAGGCTGCCTCATTCTATTAATCTGGCCATTAAGCAGAGAGGGTCCTGCTGATGCCAACTGATGCAGAGGTCTGTGGTACTACTGGCAAGGAGCAGCAGGAGTCCTTAGCAGCCCATCCATCTGTCTCCCCCATCTCCAAACAGCTGCATGAGCACAGGTTCACCAAGCACTGGGTGAGGACCCTATGAATGCACAGAGGGAAGGGGCCCCAGGTGGCAGCATGTTCCTGCACAGACTGGGCCCTGGGCAGGCTGAACTATGGATGTGTGATGTGCAGACACAGCTCACTGAACTCAGAGGCAGGCCTCCCTGAGGCCCCTGTGCTCCAGGATGAAGCAGGTAACACCTTTCTTAGGAGCAAAGGGGACGGGGACTGGGGAAAAGAAGTGGGAGCTGACCCAGGCTTCAGACATCTGCCACTTACCTCTGCTTGGTTGGTTTTGCCAAGCTCAGCCACATCTGCTATCTTGCTCCTGCCATATGGGTAAATATCTGGGGCACCACTTTCTGCCAGAAAACCCATCCATGCCCCTCTTGTATGACCTGCCTGGAGGCAGCTGAAGAGGAGGATCCCATGCTAAGTCCCAGGATGGACTAAGGCCCAGCAAAACGGAAGATCTGGCTACAGGCTTGTGCCAACAGTTACAGAAGAACATTAGTACTTTGGTTGGGTTCCAAGTCTCTTTAACACAGGAAGTTAGAACTTGGGAAAGACAACAATATCCTACAGCTCCCCCAAAGACCAGGAACCAGATGAGGCTGATGGAATGGTGTGGAAACTAAGTGAATTATCTCCCTGATGGTGTAGCACGGATGCAGAAAGCCCACCTCGAGCCATGGCTGGCTGTGCATGGAGGCTCAGCTCCCTTGGGCTAATGAGTATGACTCTAAGAGAGGTCCCTGTGTGGGGGGTGAGCTGTCCCCCCTCACAATGTGCCAGCCAAAGCCATAAGCATGTGACTATTCTTGCCCCTGGAGGTTTGGAAAGGCTGACTGGATGGTTTCTATGGTGAAGGATACAAGAGGGCCGGGGTGCAGCCACTCCACCCTGGGAGAGAAGATTTGGCTTCCAGAATTCTGGACACAGACCATTTGCCCAGGAGTGCTCCTGCATCTACTAAGTTTTCCTCTAGGGAAGAGCTAATGAAGAAGAGAAGGGCCATCCTTGGAAAGCACACCCTGAAAGTTCTCTGGTAAATCCACTGGAAAGACCAGAAAGGGCTAGATTTTCCAAAGTGCCGCATACACACCTCTGGGAGTACATGTAGAAGATATGTGGGGTACTCAAAAGGAACTCTCACATTTTATTAGTTTAATATTTATTTCAATGTTGGGCAAAAAAACAATCTAGCTAGCATGTGATTTTATGCTTGTGACTTCACCAACATTATTCCTTGGGACAGTATTTCTCATCCTCAACACTAGTGACATTTTAGTTCAGATCATTCTCTCCTAGGGGGAGGTGGGCTGGCCCGTGCACTGCAGGATCATTAGCAGCATCCCTGGTGCCCACCCACCAGTTGCCAGTAGAAACCTCCCCACCTCAAGGTGAGAGAACCAAAAATGTCTTCAGACACTGCCAAGCATCCTCTGGAGGTCAAAGATAGCCTTAATTAGGAACCATCAGCTTAAGATAAGCCCACTTATGAAAGTTAAGTTGATTTAAGGAAAATCTATTTTTAGGTGACTTAGAACAGGTGGGATTCACATATGGCCAATGTGGCTAAGGTGGTATGTGAATGGCCTACGTTTGGGTAAAACCAGACCAAGGACGACCAAAGAGGAGGAAAGAAGTGGGTCCTTACCTCCCTCAAAGTCACACTCACTGCTCTTTCCTGCCCACTCTGTTGTGTGGTCATCCCTGAAGCCAACAATAACTAAATGTGTGTGTACAGGAAAATGAGAAGATAGAAGGCTCCCCCCTTTCCCCACCATGTGTGGCCTTCCTGAACAAGGAAGGAGAAGCAGAATCGGTTTGCTCATTCCCCTTGGGTAGACTGAGGCAGAGACACTGGTGAGAACAAAGACCCCATGGAGGAGCCTACAGAATGAAACAGGCAGGTGGTCCTTCCCAGAGAACTCCAGAAATAGCTGCAGAGCTGCTATTCAGCCTTGAAATGTTTAAACGGGCTTGCTTGTCTCAGACACTCAAATACTGTTAGCTGTAGGGCGCTGAATGAGGACCACACCCTGTCTCCTCTTGTCACTGTGTGACCAACCCTCAGAGCCCAGGATAGGATCAATCCAAAGATACCTCCCCTTAAAGCCCAACCAGAAAGGCGACAGTGTATCGGTTTCAAAAGCTAACTCACCAGCATTTAGTATGTACCGATGACTTTACAGACACCAATTTCTGCTGTTCTCACCACAACCCTGCAAGGTGGTAATATTCCAGATGGGAAGAAGGGGGCTAAGAGGCTAAGTCGCCTTTCAAGGCCATAAGATGAGTACACAGACGCCCGGGTACACACGTGCGCATGCACACAACCAGCTGGTGTGTTAACCCACAGGTGCATGTGTATGCACATCCCAGTGGGCAGGAGGATGGCCTGATGGCCTGTCCAGTCTTTCTGAGTCAAGGAGCCAAGAGTGCACCAAAACTTCTGGAGAGCTGGTACACGAACTTCCATGCAGACGTAAGTGATAAAGATCATGGGAAGGTACTGACCTGGGTCTCCAGGGTGATCGGTGGGCTCGGATGAGGGTCCTGTGGGAAGAGAGGAGAAAACAAACGTAAGTGATGGAGAAGACTTAACCTACTAACAACCCAGCATCATTTTCCAACAAAGCCAGATCTTTTCCATGTTTAACAAGCTCAGGGAAGGCTGCCAGTTCAAAGGTCTCCCCCGATCCACGAATCATGAGAAGAGCTTGGCCCAATCCCCAATCTCCCCCCAACTTCCTCCCACACCCAGAAGATTAAAGGGGCTCAAGTTTTTCATTAAGAGGTTAAAGGGATGCCTGCATGGAGATCATGCAAAATGATCAAGGATCAAGTAGAAGGAATATGAAAGAAAGCACATTCGTCAATTATCTCCAAGTGTGTTCAAATCCTCTACATGACGGAGAGGATGGATCCATAAGAGGATTAGAACTAAACCTGAAAGAATAGAGTCCTGACTAGGGGCAAGGCCACCAATTTGTGTCTGGTCTTGGGGAAAAAAATGAGGGAAGGAAAAACAAAAAGAAAAAGAAGAGCTTAATTCCTGGTTTTGTAGCATATTCCAATGGGCTGGGGAAGAGCCTTTTCAGAATAGAGAAGGCCAGAGAAAAGTCCTATTAATTCACTCTCTACAAAAGCCAATTGACTGGAAATGCTTGGTAGTAATGTCGTGGGTCATTAAACACAAACCCTTCAGGTAGGGGGCAGGGTGGGTAGAGGGGAAGGAGGGACGGGTGGGGAGGAGGTGGTGGTTTTCAGCAAGTGGTTTCCAAGGAAAACAGGAAACCCGGCACATAAAGGCTATTTTTGTCGGCACTGTGTTGTCTCAACTTAACCACCTCAGATTCATGCTTCTGGGAAAGCAACCTCAAGCTGCCTCTTACAAAGAATAGGCATGATGGTAGAGCCCTGAAGTGTAAGCTCAGTTTGGAAGCTTTGCTTTATGTAAGCAGGTTTTCCAACATGGGCTTCTCGGAAGTTATGCAAATGAGCACCCCCTGGCCTATACAGTGAATAGGAAGGCAGTGTAGGAATCACGCTGTATTTGTCCTTCTGTGGTCTTATTTCACTTGGCATGATGTCCTCCAGGTTCATCCGTGTTGTCACATATGGCAGGATTCTTCTTTTTGAAGGCTGGATAATATTCCAGAGTATGCATATATATCTTCTTGATCCATTCATCCATCAATGGACATAGGTTGTTTTTGTATCTTGGCTGTCGTATGGCTTCAATGACCACGGGAGGGGAAAATGTCATGATTTTACTTATAGGAGGAATCAAAAATAGTCAAAATCATGGAAGCAGAGAGCAGAAGGGTGATTTCCGGGGGCTGGGGCAGGGGATTTGCTATTCAACGGGTGTATGGTTTCAGTTACGCAGGATGAATAAGCTCTAGAGTTCAGCTGTATGACACTGTGGCCGTAGTTAACAACACTGTATCATACACATAAAATTTTGTTAAGAGGGTAGATTTTAAGAGTTCTTACCACATTAAAAAAAAAAAAAGGAAGTATAGCTAAGTTGGAACATTTTAAACCCATACCCTAGGTGAACTGTCACTCACTTTCTTGAGGACTCCTCTGTGGGATCTTTATAACGATGCCAAAGTCATTCTGAGCTCGGGGTGAGGGGTTCCTCTCCCCCAATTCCAGGTCTGAATCCGGTTTCCCAGCAGTTTTCCAATGGTACAGCTCAAAGCTTACTGCCAGGAGAACATCTAACTCTAATTTTCACACTTAGGCATGGGATATTCCTCAGGCCCAGGAACGCATGGAGGGGAACACTCCTCCTCTTCTTCGGACATTATAGCCTTGGCTCATAAAGGAATTTGGAGAAGTCTTTAAAAAAATATTTTGGGCCTCTCTCTTGTAACCTTTACTGGCTGCTTCCCAAGGGTGAAGAAGTGGCAGCTATATGGGCGTGAACCCTCGCTGTGCCATTTGAGTGAGGTGCCTCGTTGCTTTAGCCATTCTTCATGGACAGAGCCCACTACAGCCAGCCTCTTCCTCCTGACATACAGGGAGAGTCAATCCTGCTCTTTCAGCTTCCCTGTGATCAGCAAGCTTACTGGACAGAGCTCACTTGTGTCTTTGGGAGGCAAGGCCGTCCTCCTGGTTTTGGAGGTCTTCAGCTCTGCTTCAGTCTGTATATCTGATCTCTCTGGCCATTCAGGTTGTCGTCTAGATTCAGTCAGGAGATAAGCTGCCTCTCAGACTCAAACATTAGCCTCATTCTCAAAGCCAGGTCCTAGCGAATCACTGCACCGGGGTGTTGGGTGTGCGCCCAGATTAATTAAGCTGTACTTCACGGCCCGTTTGGCTATGGCTTAGGGTTTATGCTTCACTGCTCAGAATCCCGAATGGGTAGAGAGGGGAGACTGCCATCCCAAACTCCTAAGAACAACTTCATGGAAAAGACTGTCCCTGGGAAACCACAGAGAACTGTCAACTTAGTTGACAAGACCCAGAGGCTGATCCCTAGCTATGATAAAGTACCAACTCTGTATTTGGTATTCCAAGATCAGTTCCAAGACCCTACTGGCATGTGGTCAAGGGGCCAATCTTATCTAGTCAGCATGTTAATGACCTAGCCAGGAAGAAGACCGAATACTCCATGTGGCCATGTCATTACCACGCAGGGCTCACTTGCAACAAAATTTTGCTCCCCCCACTTCTGTACACATTCAAAATAGAAGACTCTCCCCCCCACACACACACACACACAGACTCCATCCAGAAGATTCCAGGTATGACTATATATCTGTGAGGTCTCACTTTCAGCAACATCCTCCTTAATTGGAAAGGCTAACGAAGTGGAACCGGGTCAATGATGCTGTCTTGCCTAATCCATCGTGTCTGTCTAAACTGGGACTCTGGTTTACAGTAGAGTAAATTCCTGTCTGTCAGGGGAAAGGCTCCTGGAGGCCAAAGGGGAATTTGCAACATGCTCGGATGCTACAGTGGAGTGCTTTCAGAATCTTAATGCAGGTACCGGGAGCTATAGAACTGCCTTAAGTGAGGAAAGCTCTTCATATCATCTATTGCAATGACTATGTTGCGGAAGTCAAATAGGGAACTAGGTAGATGGATTCAGGGGCCTGCGTACTTCACCACTCCTTAGGGCCACGCCCTCCGGTCACAGGACTTGGCATTTCTCTGCAAAGCATTCTTCCCCATTCTTTGACCTTGGACCTGCCCGTTTCATTTGCTTTGTCCAAGGGGAGGTTAGCAAACGGGACATAAGCAGAGGCTTGAAACATTTGTGTGATGAATGTGATCTCTCATGCTCTTGCCATCACCACAAGAACATCCTCCAGGCAGCCTGCTGGTCCAAGGAGGAGGAGACACAATGGAACAAAGAGAACTATACCCAACCTGCAGTTTGAGGCCAAGTCCAGCCTTTATCAGCCATCCTCCAGACACTTACAGAATATACACCTGTTGTTCCAAGCCATTGAGTTTTAGGGTCATTTGTTACACAGCCATCACTGTGGCAGTAACTAACTGATACCCTTTCTAAAGATTGACCTTCATAGAACCAAAACATAATGTACACTTCTAGCCTTGGAAACAAAGGGATACATACTCTCCCTCAGTCTGCAAATAAAACCCAGGAACCTGGGTTTTATTTTTAATTCATATATAATTCATATAGCTGATATAATTCATAGCTATGATTTAGGACCTGCTATGTGCCATACTCCATGTGAGCTGTACATTAAGCCTTGCACGGAGAAAATTCGAACACTCGGACCTTATACTATATAGGAGTTAGCTTTCACCCCTCTTGGCCAAATGTATCAGTCCTCCTGAATTTATTTAAATACCATTACAATGACATTAATGGAAATGACTGCTCGGAATCTTCTTGCCTCAAGATAAAGACAGTTTTCATTGCTTTGGTGTGGTCTCAACTTTATCCCATGGGCATATTACTCGACCAAGGTTTGGAACAGTCATAAACACTAGTAATAATTAGTAGCATAGTAAGTTACTAGCTAAGTGATGGCTAATAACTTAAGTTCTTACCATGTTCCACACACTGGTGTAACCTCTATACATGTATCTATCACACCTTTGATCCCTTGTAACAACCCTGTGAGGTAGATTACCATTATTCTCATTATAGAAATGGGAAAACGGAGGACCAGAGAGATTGAGCACTCTATCCAACGTTACATAGATAGTGCTGAAGCCTGGGTTTGACCCCAGCACCCTGCACTTGAGACACCTGTGCTCCACAATTTTATATTAGCCCTACCAGAGAACACAATTTCAACTCAAAGTAATCCTGCAACCCGGATAAGGTCTCCTAAAAGGAAGAACACTCACAGCAAATCAGCAGCAACAACTACTAGAATCCTTTCTTTTTTCTTTAAGTAGTGGACATGGTTGATAGAAATTAACACACAGGCCATGACTGTGAACACATTCACTTCACCACAGCAGGGAACCAAATCCATCCACACATATTTACTGAGTTCCAACTCAGTAGCTAGCACTATGCCTGGTGGGCACCAGGAGGGAGCCAGAAATGAGTTAAAGTAACTCTGTGTACGCTCCTATTCCCAAAGCTAACTGTTTAAATAATAGGCGGGAGTCTGATTACAGATTCTGGAGAAAGGAAACTTGTTTGCACCTCATGAGTCTCACTGGTACGACCAGGAAGCCAGGCTCCAAGATTTTTGAGCCCATCAAGGTCAAAAGCCTAGTTTTAATAAGCAATTAAACTTTCCTCAAGAAAAGAGAGACAATAGGCACCTGGGGAGCTCAGTTGGTTAAGCGTCTGCCTTCCGCTCGGGTCATGATCCCAGGGGTCCTGGGATTGAGCCCCAGATCAAGCTCCCTGCTCAGCAAAGAGTCTGCTTCTCCCTCTCCCTGTGTGTGCACTCTCTCTCAAATTATTTTAAAAAAAGAAAAGAGGCAGAAGGACGGATTTCATTATCATTCTATGCATGCATCAAACATTTCTGGCTCCCCTGGTTGGTACTGAGTTCTGAGCTTGGCCTCAGTCGTTGAAAGAGGTGTTCTCTTCTTACGCTTTG